GTTTCGCTACGTTGTACAAATGTTTCTATCTCTAATTTCATATGCAATATTTTATTGAAATGTGCAGAATGAATATATGCTTTTTGTTGCATGTGCTATGCCAAAATCCATGTCGAACAAATTTTATAGACTTTGTGTCATCTTTCCAAATGAAGTCAAAACACCATAATCACTGAGGTTAAGATTGAACAACTATAGAAAAAAGCAACTCATTTTAAATGCTATCGACTTCCGAAAAATATGAAATATTATTGGGAATGTTCGAAAGGCAACTTACTGGATTTATATATATATATATATATATTCTTTTGGGGTGCAAAAATGCCAGGTTGAATTATTTTATGCCATGCTTTGCCAAATGCTTGTAGTCGACAGTTTAAGTAATAAGGCTAATATGCATGTCTGGACTCTCCCAAGTTCATTTGAATTGATGTGGTCGATGGTATTACAGTGCTTAGTAAAACCTGCAGTCAAAGAAATCACAAGACCGGCTGATCTGGTGCTGTATAGCGATGTGAGGGCTGTGGAGCATTCTGAGTTTGACTAATAGGTGAATTTTTAACTTTCTTTAAATATTTTTACTCAGGGTTTTCATGTATTAATCAATTATTTTGGGCATAATGACCATAACTTCACTTACCTATCACATATAGTGTTGGCATTGTGTCATTACTAAGGTCTTTACCATTCACTAAATCTACAAGATTCCACGTTCTCGCGCATATTACGTGGCAATAATGAAATGCCCTTTATTGAATTGCCCTTTAATTTTGCTTCTGTGATTGCATATTAGGTGGCTGAGAAGATGAGCCTTATTGAACAGTACAAGGAGGAAAGGGAAAGACAACAAAAGGTACATGACAGAAAAAACCTTATGGGTGTGTTTTGGTGATATTAGTCTTGGTAGTTTGCTGATATATGTGTGCATGTTGGGTTTTGCTCCTGTAGTTAGCAGGAGAAAAGGAAATCAGGAGACTAAGAAAGGAGCTCATTCCAAGAGCTCAACTCATGCCCTATTTCGACAGGCCTTTCATCCCTAGAAGGTACTAGATAAAATCCAGAATTTTTAAAAACTTCTTTTGTTATACGTGGCTTTGCATTTGAATATGGATAACCAAAAAACCTAATGAATAGAAAAATTATCTAGTAGGTTCGGCCTATAGGACACATGGTGTGTCTTTTCAATATTAGAAAAACATATGATCCACTTGTTTCTATTTTCTATACAAGAAGATATCATGTCTATTTTGGTGGGCGCGGAAAGCTGAACCTGCCAGATAACTTCTCCTATTAAAGACTTCAAATAGACTCTCTCCTTCAAATGATTCTTAAAAAACAATATGCAGTTTGTCTACATTGCTTTCTTTCTTCTTTTTTTATATACACTTTTTCCCCTCAGTGTCACTTACTGGAGTTGCAACTTTTCCAGCATATTTTATTAGTCAGGTGTTGTTTGGATCTCCAATTTTGTAAAATAAACGTCAAATCTAGAAGTTTTCTAATGCATCATTTGACTAGCATAAGTGGTGTAAATATAACGATGTCCCTTGTTTGTTTTGGGTTATTTTCAGGTCAATGAAGCATTGCACCATACCCAGAGAGCCAAAGTTCCATCTACCAGCACAACACAAGAAGATCAAGTGTGGCATGTGTTGGGATGATATGTTCACACACCAACAATGAAATGCAGAGAATGAAGAAAAAATCAAGATTTTTCATAATTTTTTTGTTGTTAATTGCTTAATAATGCTGAACTTTTTTTTCTTCATTATATGGTCTCCAATATTCCTTGTGTATATGAAAGCAATCAATTTAATTACAATTTTGATGAAACAAGTGATGGTAGTGTTGCATGCACAATTGTGTGCTATTTCAATGAATATTATCTCATGTGGGGATATATTTTCTGAGTACCAACATGTGGCTAAGGTAACGCCGACGTGTCAGCCGAGGTGCCACATGTCCTGGTCATGACGCCGAGGTTATCTCGGCGAGGCCGAGGTTACCTCCGAAGATATCAGAATCCGAGATAAGCAGATAAGGCACAAGAGTCCTAGAAAAGGGGAAGACTACAGTTGGGAAAGGATAAGACTCTTAGGGAGTTTATCCCAATCCTACTGAGAGTCCAAGATAGATAGTAAACCTAAGTCCATTAGAGCTAGGCTCCTATTGGGACAAGGATTGAGTTAGCTATAAAAAAGAGGCACTCCCGATGGGTCTAAGGTACGCAATTTATACTCAGAACAGTGAGTTTAGCAATTGATTATCTTTGAGAGATATACTGACTTGATCGTCGGAGTGCCCCGGGTGGACGAACCACCGCCGAAATCTTCTCTTTCTGTTACAGGTCAGTCAGGTGTTATCTATTCTGTCAGTACTCTCCAACTAAATTCCCCTTTTTGGTTGTGTGGTTGAAAATCAACACTCACATATTGAATGTGTTGCGGCTCTATTGTGAAGCTTCAGGTTAGGTTGTAAATTTTGACAAAGCAAATGTTTAATTTTTATCTAATGTTTTGTCGGATATTAGAAGCAGCATTTGCAGGCTCTCAAGTCTAAGACTATCATTGGCAGATGCGAAATATCTTGGATTACCTCACTCTGGAGGAGGTCAAAGGCAGAGGCTTATGAATCCATCAATGAGAGAGTTTTGGCGAAATTATAAGGATGGAAACTAAAGCTATTGTCACAAGCTGGGAGGGAAGTTTTGATTAAAGTTGTTGTCCAAGCAATTCCATCTTATGGGATGGTTTGTTTTGCTTTCCCCGAGAAATTTTGCAATAAACTAAATTCATACATTAGTAAATTTTGGTAGGAAGGAGACCCGGAAGGAAAAGGAATTCATTGGGTGAGTTGGGGGCATTGCCTTTATCCAAATTCCATGAAGGCTTGGGATTTAGAGATTTTAATGCATTTAATTTGGCCCTTCTACCTTGCCAAGGATGGAGGTTGATGAAGTTTCCTAAGTCATATTGTGCTAGGATGTTGCAAGGCATCTATTTTCTCTATTCGGATTTTGTTAATGCTTCTAAAGGAAAGCGAGCTTCCTAGGCATGGTTTAGTATTTTTCATGGAAGGAGTATTTTGTTACAAGGAGTCAAATGGCAAGTCAACAATGCGGCCTCAATTTTGTTTTGGGACGACAGATGGATCCCATCCATTCCTGGGTTTAAACTCTTTTCTCCAAGACCAATTAATTGTGGGGTAAACATAGTAGTGGATGTGATTGATCTGGTACACAAGAGTTGGAAGGTTGAGTCCCTTAACAGCATAGTTTCAGTGAAGGAAGTCGAAGCTATTCGTACTATTACCAATTTCAGAAGAGGACAATGAGATTTTTTGGTTTGGTAGTTTGAGTCTTAGGGCTCTTATTCGGTGAAGTCGGGTTATCATGTAAAGAAAGAGAGTTAGCTTAGAGACAATCTTCATCTTTCCAGCTTCCTAAGAATTTATGGAGATTCATTTGGTCCTTAAATGTCCCTCCAAAAATCCATCATTTCTAGTGGAGAGTGTGTAAGAATGTGCTGGCTACAAAGGAAAATCTGCTCAAATGAAAATACCCTATGTCAGGTCTTTCCCTTATTTGTCACAAGAACGTAGAATATGTAGAGCATATGTTATTCAAGTGTGATTAGGTTCGAACGGTGTGGTTTGGGAGTAAGTTTGGTTATCGAGTTTCTATGTCAGCGACACTATCAATTTTGAAGTGGTCTTGTGAGATGATGGAATATTTCAATGAAAACAAGGAGTGCAATTTTTTTTTTCCAGCTTAATTGCCTGGATTGGCTGGTTTGTTTGGAAAGAACACAATGAGTTTATTTTCTCTCAGAAACCAGTTAATCCAAT